ACACATATATACTGGCAACTCTTAATTACGATATATATATATATATATATATATATATATATATATAAATGTCAACGAGATTATTTACTTACAAGAAAGCAAAGTTTTGGCCAGTTGTGTATGAAATATCTGTAGGTGTAGATTGAGTATGGCTCTGATAAGTCTTTTGTTATCAATCTCATGATATCGGGCATTTGAAGTTCATTCTCATAAGCAACATAGGATATTCTAGACACCACTTGTTGTGCCTGATGATTGCTTATATCACATTCCTTTAGTGCCTGTGACACTGTTTCATAATCCTTTAAACTAGAATCCTCATAATCTTCATTACAGAGGTCTTCCTTTTCCTGTATTCTTTCTGTAAACACTTCTGTGTGTTCAGTGTCTGGTAAGGTACTCAACACTGAACCGGACACCAACATTTGAGTCACTTTGGTACTATCAGTTTCGACATTCGCTGGATTTTGATGCAGTCGCGTTGGTGAATTTGCATGCACATTAGGTAGACTATTAATATTTTGCTCAGAATCTTCATCTCTGCCCAAAGAAATTTCTGTTGCAGATTTAGTTCCAGTTGTGCAGCCAAGGCCTGCTCCAGCTTTAGAAAACCCCATTGTCACTGGCTCATTATTTATCTGTGGCTCAACTAAAGCTTTTTGGTTTGTCATGTACGAATGTACATTTACATCACTGTCAACTTCGCCATTGCTAATAGCAACAAATAACTTGCTGGTCGCAGTTGTACTGTTGGCACCACTAATAGTATTAGCATCATTTTGCATTCCACTCTGGAATTGGTAGCCACCATTACTCAAAGAACAAGGCGACTTGTGGTTTTCTAAAGACGTTGTGTCGGAACTGACACAGGCATATCCACAATCAACGTCATCATTAGTGTCTGTTTCCTTTTTATTACTAATACTATTAGTATTAGTATCAGAATTGCTACTGTTTCTTGCTGCACTCTGGGGTGTTGTCGCACAGTCAGAATCGTGCACACGACTCGCTGTTACAAAATCACAATCACTCATAGTTCGTGTTTACAAGAGAATGTACGCGCGTTAAATGGCTTCAAAAATAACGTTTATGTGAGCCAACATACAAGTTAGGCGAGAAATTCGTTCAGAAAATGTTAATCAAAGCTGTATGTCACTGTGCGCGGCCATGACACCTAGTAACCACATTATGTATATTAATGCACGGTCAAATTTATTCTGCACTACATTAGATTTAGGTCCATTATATAGGAGATAATCAAGAAATAGATTTTAAACACATACAAATTTAATTAGTTAATGTATTTTCCAGTCGAGTTCTATAAAATGGTATAGTGTGTAACTACTTTATTGCGCTACAAACTGCGTTTGTAGGCATAGGCTAGATAGACACACCATTAGTCGCTGCTATGGTCGAGCTCTGTCATAGGGAGATCTGTAGGCAGTCTATAGAGATGTTCTGAATCATAGACCATATAGACATAGACCATTTATTACCTTACCTTATATAGACCCTATATATATATAGGCTATATAGAAACACGTGTTCATATATATAATAATATATATATATTCATAAACAGGGGTGTAGCCAGGGGTTTCGGGGGGTTCGGACGAAGGTTTCGGATACATGTACCCCTCCTACGCGGGATCGAGAGTTCCGCTCAAATGATGAATTAGGGAGTTCCGCTCAATTATTTTTTTAACCCTATTGCGAATTCCAAATACCAACAAAAGCAATCGGATATAGCAAACCTCCGCCACAGCGTAACAGTCCCCCCAGCTTGCAAAATTGTGTTCAGCACACTATTTCTCCTGTACAAAAGAGCAGTTTTCTCGATTTTTGTGTGGAAAATTTCGTCATTAGAGAGCTGTGCAGAAATGTGCATTGCACACGTGAGATGGATACCCGATAGACGTCTGAAAACATTGAAATTTGTGGAGAAATTGTGCAAATCCCGTGGGGTGTCGTGGCCATGCGACAGGACAAGCGCGTTTGAGATTACCACGCACATGCTCATGTCAAGTGTATGCACTACGAAGGTCACATTCACATTCCGCTGTGAGAATATTGATTAAAGTCACAGTGCTCTGAACTTTCAGGCCTCCAGTGCACATAGTCATTTCTGTGTATCATTATAGGTTTGGTAGGCGACCGGGATTCTTTAGCGCGCTGGTCGTGCAAATTAATTGTGTTTGGCATGGCCAACAAGCAGTGGCACCTGAATTCATATCATTCACCGGTGTTTAGCGCGACTTTATGGTTTGACGAGTACGGTATATACCAACTCCGTTTGTGCTAGTGTAAGATATTATCTACAGACTATTTGAAACTACCTATTTATATAGTATCCCGTATATTTCTATGTTCATTACATGTTTAACACAGTGGCGTATTAGGGGGGGGGGAGGAGGCACGTGCCGGGGGCGCCATGTTCCAGGGGGGCGCAAAAAGGCAAAAGTAGAAGAAACGCAAAAAGGCAAAGGAAAAAAACAATCTGCCTACTAGAATGATAACTTGAAATATTCAAATCCTTTATTTGAAAAGTTGATTACCCAGGGCGTTACAGCGGGTCCAGGGGTCGGACCCCCTTCCTTCGCGTGCTCATAAGTTTGGGTTACGGCTTAGACACCCCTCGTTTCAAATCCTGTACACGACGCCTGTTACTGGACCTGGGATAATGCTGCTATTAGTTTAGAAAGTATTGGCGTCCTAATCTGGATCGAGAACAACCAAACCCTGTCAAATTCGATTTTTTTCTTATTTTTTTCATTGGCGTCAGAAGTTGGAAGGGGCGCAATTTTAGCACATGCCACGGGCGCTGTTTTTTTCTAAGATACGGCCTCTGTGTTTTACAGTACGTGGTTTAAATCGAGATAACGTCTCGCGTGGCATAAAAAAATATATATATTGTTATTTTTCTGAACAATTACACTAGCAGGAGCCATGTTTATCGTAGATTTCTATTCTTACATTGAATAGTTTATATGGCTATTATTCGGCATCCATGGACAATGTCAATAAAGGCATTAAATTTAGTGTTAATTTATTAATTTAAAATAATTTTAGGAACTAGATCACCAGCAATGTTCATTCCGCTGGCCGGTCTCAACGATCATAAGAATTTTCTTTGGAGTTGGTGTACATGATATAGCCTTCATCGCATGGGCCTACGAAAGAGCTGGAGAGGATGGTGAGCGTCTGACTACGGCTCGATGGCATTATTCTTATTATATTCTGGTATATGTATACATGTACTGTTAGGTAGTGTGTGTGTGGCTGTGTGTGTGTGTGTGTGTGTGTGTGTGTGTGTGTGTGTGTGTGTGTGTGTGTGTGTGTGTGTGTGTGTGTGTGGTGTAGTTGCTGTGCCGCGCTGGCGTTCGTGTGTATATATAGATTATATATAAGTTATATTGATTATATATATATATATATATATATTATAATTTATATTTATATAAATATATATACATCGTTGGATAGATAGCTAGATGGATAAATATGGAGAGATGGATGGATGGATGGATCTATAGATGCATGGATGAACGGGATGGTGGTGGATAGACAAATGGTTGAATGGAATGGGCAGATAGATGGATGACAGGAGGACGGGCGATCGAACAGACGAAAGAAAGAAAGGAACGACGGACGGAAATTCTTACTATTTCGTCGCACTGTATTACAGAACGAACGCGATGAAACTTGGCGTATCGCAGTGCATGCGTCGTCTTTTTAAGAATACTGAATGAATTCTTTTAAACTGGTCACGTCTGGCTTAAGTTAAATAAAGCATTATAAATAACGACAATAACTTATGCAATTCGGCAAACGGCTGGTTTATATGCCCCATCAACCGTCGTATGTGGACTATTTTGCTGCGATGCTATTTAGAGTGGGCTTTCGGAAAACCTATGCCTGCTGAGTATGCGGACGTACTCCTTAGGCTACTTCCAAGTTCGCCCCGTTAGCTTTTACGTCACCACGGCAAAGAAAAGACTGATATCGCATCGTTTTAAAAAATCGCAAAGAGAACAAAACTGAATGTTTCGAATCTCTCTTATCGCAGCTTTAGAATTCCGTGTGAGAAAGCAATGAATTCGCAATGGATAGATTTGTCTCCGGAAGATTTAACTGCAGAGTCATATAGTCACAGGGGTAAATATTTCTATCTGCCTTAGATGGCATGCGTACTGAACAAGTTGTTTCGCTACGGTGTACTTAATACCCATTAAAGAAACAAGAACTTACAGATGTGCCCACACAACACGCACTCACACGAACACACGCACGAAAAACACGCACACACACACACACACACACACACACACACACACACACACACACACACAGCACACACAGCACGCACGCACACCGCGCCGCCACGCGACACACGCACGCACACACGCACAGCAGCACGCACGCAAGACACAGCGAGGCACGCACATCGGAGAGGAGCAGCCGAAACACAATACACAGACATAACTGATAACTAATATATATATATATATATATATATATATATAGCGATATACTTATAAATCATTTGATATAGTGATAGTAGTCCAATATTGTAATTGAGTACAACACCGACATTAGATAACAGCACACCGCGATTAAGCGAATAAAGGAATTTGCCAGCGTTAAGAACGAGTACAAATATCGTTATTCCACATATTATATTATACGCAACTTAACTTGGTATTTTAACATAAATACGGCTTGCTTTTTCACATATTGCCCTTTGTCATTGATATCACAGGATGAATCGCTGAAGCAAGAGAGGTGCAGAATGTTATTTCACATGCCTAAAAGTACAGTGGGCCGGCGATCCGGTCCGGCGCGCAGGCCAGTCCGGCCAGTGCCCGAATCACGGTGCCGGACCACCATTAATTTTTTACGATACATTACGTCTTTATTTTCAATAACCAACATTTACGTATGCACAGGCGGGATCTAAGTATTCGCACTAATCCCGAGACATATAATGATCTGAAAGTCCACACCTATAGTATAGTATACACGCATATAACTCACTATACTACATGACGTTGTTTGTCATGTTATTGAAACATTGACGTCCGCAGTTATACGGTTTAGGCAGCAAGGCAGTGCGTCGTGTTGCGTGGTATTGATTTTGATACAAGCCACGCACGCAGCGCACGCACGCACGGCACGCACGTGTACGCTTACAGCACGCAAAAGCACAACACTCATGCACGCACGTGTACTGTGGCACACGTCACGACGCACCTCCGCATGCACGCAGTGTACGTGCACACGCACGCACGCACGCAACGCCGTTCACGTTGCACATGCATGCACGCACGCAGTTTGTACCCCTGCACACACACGATTCGCGACGTGTACGGTGAACACGCACGCACTTCAACACACCGCACGCAGGCTACGCGTACGCCCAACGCACGCACGGCCACGCCCGGTCTACGTGCCACAGCGCCGAGGACGCACGCATGTTAGTGCATATTGAGGTACGCACGCGCGCACGTGTACATGCAAACGGCTCGCCACGCACGCACCGTCACGCACGCCGAACGTACGCCACGATGCACGGCAGGTGACGTACCACGACGCTCGACGGCTAGGTGACTAATAGTGCATACCGCGCACGCTATTTCGCCGCACGTGGTAACGCACCCATGCAACGCGAGCACACGACGTGGCTGTACGCGTGGTGCACACAACACACGGCACGCACGCACGTTAGTACGTGAACAGCGCACGCCACTTCACACAGCGCCACGCAACGGCACGCAAATTGTTAGAACGCTTGCACACGCAACGCACGCACGCAATGTACGCCTAGTGTAACAGTGCGTGTAAAACCATGCCACATTATATCACGGCCACCACGCTGTAGCTGTTTACAGCTGACAGTGCATAGCATGACATCAACGGCCTGCCTCCTCCTACTCTCGCCATGCCTTTACCGGCTCCCAGTAATCGCCCTAAGAGAGAGAAGCCGCCGTCTCAGCCTATAACCCGCTACACAACTCGATAACACTGCAATAAAAGTTTTTAAAGACATTATATATAGGCAATCTGCTGCGGGCGACATTTGCTCTGACAGTACCCAACACAATAAACGTGGGTTCTCAAACTAACAATCGCGAATTCAATATTCATCAGTGTCCGTGTTGC